TGAGGTCAGCTGTCCCAGCTGTGTCCCTTCCCAACTTCTTGTGCACCCCCAGCCTACTCGCTGGCGGGGCAGCGTGAGAAGCAGAAAAGGCCTTGATGCTCTGTAAACCCTGCTCATCAATAGCCAAAACATCCCTGTGTTATCAACACTGTTTTCATCGCAAATCCAAAACATAGCCTCATACAGGCTATTATGAAGAAATTTAACTATATCGCAGCCAAAAACAGTACACCCAGGCATCTCCTGTGTTGGTCTGTTCTCTGATTTGTACTCATGTTCTCTTGACTGGCTCCTCCCCCGCTCCAAGGCAAAGCTGCGTGTGTTTGAGCTACTCCTTTGCGCAGAGCACAACCTCTCCCTGCCTATTGTCCAGCCTGTCCTTTCTGAAGAGCTTCATCCATCCATGGCTGCACTTCATTTATGTGACCTATTCCCCACTTCTCTGTAATCCCAATGAGAACAGAGCCCTGCCACCATGCCCAGAATATTGACTTCTCTTGCTTTTGTCGTGTGTGTCCTCCCTCCATGCTGCATACTTTTATGTGTAGGCACTTGAGATGGGTTTGCACTTGTGCCGCTTTCACAGGGAAAGTGAGGGCCTACCTGTCCCCTGGGTACTTTCTCCATGCCTCTGTTCCTTTATTTCTCTTCAGACTTTGGTCATCGTGACCTGTCAGACCTAGTTCAAAGTCCTTCTCTCCAAGTTGGCAAAGATGCCCCACTTTGTCAGGTGGTTCTTGTTCCTTCTCAGCAGTCCTCATCAATTAGGATCCCATGGACACTACCTGTGCAGCCCTAGGTGTTGACCTATAATGATGCATCTGCTCCTACTGGAGCCTTTTCCCTTTACCTGCAGTATTGAGAAGAACACCTGGGCTCCCATGTGCTTCACCCTTGTCCCCAGACCTCTGCTGTCACTTGTGATTTGCTCTAGATCAGTCTCTTTTTTGCAGTGTTAGCAGCATCCACACAAATGAGCAGTAAGGGGTAATAGGTCAAAGGACTGGACGAACCTTGGCAGCCTCTCTGTAGTATCCTGTATCTGGGCCTCCAGCAAGCAACAAACCTCCTGTGATAGATCCTTTCCTACAAGAAGACAGAACTGGGCTCTTCGCAGTGGTGCATGATGGGAGTATGAGAGGCAATGGGCATAAGCTGAAACAAGAGAGGCTCTGACTGAATTTAAGGAGAAAGCTTTTTCACAATGAAGTCAAGCAATCAGTAGAGCGGGTTGCCCAGAGGGGTTATGCAATCTCTAGGTTTGGATGTTTTCAAGACCTGACTGGATAAAGCCCTGAGCAACCTGGCCTGAATGCAGCGCTGACCCTGCTTTGAGCAGGATGTTGGACTAGGGCCCTTCTGAGGTCCCTTCCAACCTGAATTGTTCTATGATCCTATGTCTGGTCAGCAGATGGGTCCCTGCAGAAGGGATGCTCCAACTGCAGTCGTCCAATGTTCCCTCTTGGTGCTAATGCACAGTTCTATTGGGTGCACCAGGGCAAGGTTTTGGTAGCCAGGAGCAGGACTGCAGGGGTGGCTTCTGTGAGAAGAGACCAGGGGCTGCCCTGTGCCAGACACAGATGGTTCCCGCCGGCTCCACAACAAACCTACTGCAGGCCAGAACTGAGCCAATCAGTGAAGCTGGTGGAGCCTCTATGAAAGCATATTTAAGAAAGGGCAAAACACCGCATGGCAGAGAGGAGTGAGGAAAAAAAGTGTGAGAAACATCCCTGTGAACACCGAGGGCAGAGAAGGAGGGGGAGGAGATGCTCCAGGTGCCGGAGCAGATATTCCACTGCAGCCCATGGAAGAGACCACAGTGGAGCAGGTATTTCCGTGCAGCCTGTGGGTGGGACCCCGTGCTGGAGCAGGGGAAAAGTGTGAGGAGGAAGGAGTGGCAGAGACAAAGTGTTATTAACTGACTGCAACCCCCAAATCCCCATATCCCTGCACCGCTCAGGAGGGTGGTCTATAGCAGACATCTCCCCAGTGTCGTGGTTTAACCCTGGCAAGCAACTAAGCACCACAGAGCTGCTCGCTTGCTCCCCCACCCAGTGGGACAAGTGGGAGAATCGGAAGATAATGGCCAGTCTTCGCGAACGAAGATTTGGGGAAAGGTCTTTTACCTTTCCAGCCTGCACAATGGATTTTTTAGGTGAGACACAGCCTGCGCTGAACTGAGCCCACCCTTTAATCCTAAGGTTCATCTGCCGGGGCCAAGCGAGCTTGGACAATGGCAGTGAGGTCCTCAGGACGTAGGTTTGTTTAGAGTGACCTTCTCATAGATGGATGGCCTCACAGGGCTAATGGGCTCCATCTGCCCGGGGGGACTGGGATTCGAACCTGGGTCGCAGTGGTGAGAGTCCCGCATGCTAACCACTAGGGCACCAGGGGTCCCGGGAGAATCGGAAGAGTGAAAGTGAGAAAACTCGTGGGTTGAGATAAAGACAGTTTAAGAGGTAAAGCAAAAACCGTGCACACAAGCAAAAAGCAAAATAAGGAATTCACTCACTACTTCCCGTGGGCAGGCAGCTGATTTAATAGGCCAGTCAAGAGCAAACCGCACCCTGGCAGTGCCAGTAGCTCACCACAGAGAGTTTACACTCTCTGGACAAATTCTAGGCCTTACCAAGGGCAGGTTGTCCTGTTCCAACCTGTCCCAGACTGGAGTCATTCATCTTTACCTCATGGAGTGGTCGTACAGGGACCCCTTGCCTCCATGGATAAAAGCTTCCTCATCTGTTAAAATAGGTGTATTCATGGATATATGAATACTAACAAAATAATAAAGTTAGAAAGCAATTTCAGAAAACTATTTAAGCAACCTAAACCAATGATTCCAACAACGATATTACCCGGTTGTCTCAAAGATTGCAGGCAATGGTGCAAACCAGATTTTAGGGTCTTATTGGAGAGTCCACAGAACCAGTGCTGTTGCTGCCTCAGCACTGAAGCCACCTTCTTATCCGTCCTTGGTCTCAGTGTAGGACTTCTTTTATGCAAATTAGGTTCACATACATTCCTAGATGACGCTAGATAAGAAAGCATCTTAAAAACATTAGTAGATAAACATGATTCCACAATTCACATGAAAATTCAATGGACCTTTCATCAAACTGCTTTTTACAAGAGGAATTCTTCCACAAGTTGCAGTAGTCTAAGAGACACAGATGTTTACAAATTGCCACTGGAACAAGATATGTGCAAGTATAAACATTGCAAGCTTTAAAACAATTCATATAGCAAAAGCAATATAAGTTTTCAATTTTTTAACAATTAAGTTAGCAACAAGAGAAACTTAAAAAATATAGAAATACCAAAACAAATACAATAATTCCAATATATGTATATGTACCACCTTTAGTGCAAATTGATTTCCAATTGTGTCAGAAGGTTTTTATGTTGGTTTCTTGTCTACTCACTCTTTGGTTCTGGTGTATTTTATTTGCAGTTAAGACATTTGTCTACTTCTGCAGAAAGTTGTTCCCATGGCTCTCAGCTTGAGTTTTGGTGGTACAGCTTTTCAGGTCTGCTTGCTGGAACAGACTATCTGTCCTGGTTAGAATGGCTGGGACCAATTCATCACTGGATGGGTGTAACCCAAAACTGTGTATTCTATGGCCTTCCATGCCATTTCCCAAAAACTGTTGTCAGTAGAGGCCTGTGAGGTGGGAAGATGTTCTTGTCCTCATACCCTTTTATGGAATTCCCTGCTCTGATACCCTTTTATGGAATTCCCCCCTCTGAGGGAGGGACTGAGCACTCCCGCCTGATCTGGAGAATATATAAACTGGGAGTTTTGGAACCTTTCCACCACTCGTGGGATCCAGAGGAAGACTGCAGACCACCGCTCTCAACTAGACTGCAGCTCTCAACCAGACTGAGACCACCACCCTCAACTGGACTGCAATCACCACTTTTGACCAGACCGCAGCAGCTCTCCCACCAGCAGGTTTTTCCCCTCTCCCTTTACTGTGGACTCGGAGGGGGGCCAAGGAACACCACTTTTGTTCATGCCCCAGGGTGCTGGGTTATACATTTGGGTTTTGCGGGTTAAAACCAATTGTCTGTCTGTATAATTGTACTTATTGTATTATTTTAATAAATTGTTATTCTGACTTATAATCTCTCTTTTGAGTTGAGTTCATTTCCCCTGCTGGTTAACTTTTAAACCAGCACACTATCTGTAAACAGTCAACTTCTGACACATTGTTTGTTCCCATTAAGAGCAAAACAGTGGTCCCCCATTTTGATTTTGCCATAGCCCCCCGAAGCTCAGTCAGGGCACAGAGGGCAGGAATATTCACAGGCTGTGAGCCTGAATTGTACGGATTGTATGGAGGCAGCATTGATGGAAGCGTTCTAGGAGACGCAGGTGGTGGCGGTAGATGACCCTTGATTCAGATCTGTATAAGAGAGTAGACAGCACTATGGCTCTGTAAACACTGATTTTTGTACTTTTCTTCAGGTGTTTATTTCGCCAAACTCTTTTATGAATCCTACATCGTACAATCCTAAACATCCACTGGTCAGATTATGTGACCAATACATCTGTTCTTGAACAAGCAGCAGTCACAAATATTGAGGCCATGTTACTGAGAACACAGCTGCGTTGGGCAGGACACGTCTCCAGGATGAAGGACCACCGCCTCCCTAAGATCCTGCTTTATGGTGAACTTGCCACTTGCTGCCGCAAGAGAGGAGCCCCAAAGAAAAGATACAAGGACTCCCTGAAACAACATCTCAGCCTTGGCCATATTGACCACCATAACTGGTCTACTCTGGCCTCCAATGGGGAGGCCTGGAGAAACACCATCTATAACGCTGCTGATGCTTTTGATAAAGCACGCAGGATCACTCTCGAGGAGAAAAGACTACACAGAAAGAATCGTGCCTTGCAGAATATACCATCTAAGGAGTCTTTCTGCTGTGCCTTTTGCAACCGGATGTCGCGACAAGGGAAGAAAGAAGCACTCAATATGAGCATCAGCTAACTTCATTTATTGAACATTGCCAACAGCTTAATATACACTTTATAATTAGCTCATACATATTGCAAAAGCTAAGCTCATTATTGGTTCTTACTTAAATGTTGATTTCGCCTTTACTCCTTTCTTTTGTTTACACAGGTGGTTCTCAGTTGCTTTTGTTTTGCTAATCACAACCTCCTGTTTACCAGCCAACTAGTACGTACAAGGATACTGTAACCTTGCCATGGCCTTGCTATCTCAGATTTTCTCACGGGCCTAGACAAGCTGTGTTCTATACTCTAACAGCCCGTCCATAGTTTTAGCCATATCCATATGTCCCTGTGCTGCTAACCAATTCTCTACAACCGGACATGCCTATCTCGCATTGGCCTTTTTAGTCACCAACGCGCTTGCAACAAACGTGGGTAGAGCCCTTCCCAAATCTTCGTTCGCGAAGCCTAGTGTGGCAGTTTGAGCCACGTTAGAAATCTAAAAATCCAATTTTCAGGCTTCTCCACCCCCTCCCACAATTTATGCCAACACCGAAGAGAAACTTTCAGGCCAGAGGCTTCTATAGGGGAAGGGGAAAATATATACATTTATTTACACAAATAAATACTATACAAGCTAAAGACAACTATATATATATTACATCTCTATCAATCAGTCCTTTCAAGCCCCTCCTTTAAGTTTAGTCCAGGAAAGAGCCTTTTCAAGGCTGGAAAGTAACCAGTCCCTCTGTGGGAGTGTTCTGGGCCTGAACGCTCCCCCCTCACCAAGTTCCAGTTGTTTTGTTGTAGTCTCTCCTCCTCATGAAGTCCAGGAAGATAGCTCTGAGTCCTTGCTCTCCTGCTGCTGTGTGATCTCTCTCTCTCTCATCCCTTGATTCATAGGCTGCTGCAGTGTGGTTCTGCTTATCAAGTGTCCACGTCCTGGCATGTGGATTTCTCCTCAGGTTTTCGGTTGTCCTGCGTGGCAGAGACATCCTCCGGGCCCCCTTTCGCTCTCTCTCTCTCGGGGGTCCGTCTCCAATTTCGCTTGGGACTCTTTCTCCCGAGCGCTGGGCCTACCTCCACGGCCCGTCCACTTGGCTCAGCTTCAATGCTGAGCCTCTCCTCCACTTTCCAGCGGAGGGAAAGGAAAAGCCCCCCTCCACAGCTTAGCTGTAGAAAAGGAGGGGGAAGAGGGTTTGGCTGCAAAAGACTGCCTCTCTTCTCTTACCTCAGGTCAGGTTCAGGTGCTGTGAGTCCCTTCCCTCACTGCACACACTCAAAAATGCTGCCTCTAACTCTGCTCTGGGCTAGGCAGAGTTGGGGGGGCCGCAGGGCTCCCCTCTTCCCCCCGGAGGGGGAAGAAGGAGCCAAGCCACCCCCCGGCCTTCCACACCTACACGCAGCAGACACCAACAGCAGAACTCTTGCCAACAACTTCCGGTGGGCTGTGTATATATGATTTTGAGCAGAAGCGAACAACATGAGTGTTGATTGGCTCTTCAGGGAACACTGCCCTGGCACCCAATCACCTCTGAGTCCCCCTCTTCTCGAGGGGGGGCCAATCTCAAACCATGACACCTAGCTATGATAGAGCCTGAAACAGGCCTAGAGCACACAGGGGCCAATATAGCTAGCTCTTCTTCTCCCCTCCCCTTTTCGTGTTAGCCAGTCTAATGGGCGAGGGGAGGAGCCACAGCGGTGGCCGACCAGTCCGTGGGACAGTGTTGGTCGCTCAGCTTTCCATACTGTGTCCATTCCTGTCGGGCTCCCTTTGGGAACCCATTTCACCACAGGGACGGGGCCAGAGCATGTTTTAGGCAAGCTTCCCTTTTGAGTTTCCCTTCTCGCTGTTGCAAAAAGTATCTTTCCCGGTTTTTGGTCGCTTCTGGGTTCTGTTGCTGTAGCAACGACTGCGAGCCAGAAGCCCAAGTTGGCAGGGCCGTGCCAACTCGGGAGGCGGGGCAGGCCCAGGGGCGGGCCGGGCCGGGACAGGACCATTCTTGTCCACGTTGCCCCCTCCCCGACCGAAATAGAGAGTCCAAGTTGTCCGACTCAACCAGCAGACCCGCCCACAGCGGCCCCGGGGGTCCGAAACTGGGCTTCCCAAAGCCATGGGGGAAAAACGCGAGTACTAGGGGGAGAGTGGGTGCGACCGAGCCGCCCTCAGTAACCAAAGCAACCGTTTCGCTGCTCGCTGCAAAAGCAGTGAGTCCCCGTGGAGGGTCTGTCACCCCCCTTTTTGGAACAGAAGCGGTGGTAGCGCTGGCAGGGGCGGAGGCAACTTCCTCGCTTTCCGCAGGGTCAGTGGTGGTTCTGCTTGTAACAGCTGCCACCTCATCTCTGCTCACTGCAGCACAAGCGGCAGCCCCGCTCGCCGCAGGCATCTTGCCTACAGATGCGAAGAGATCCAGCGCGAGGGGGTCAGCGGCGGCGAGCCCCGTCGGTCCAGCGGCAGTGCTGTTTGTAGCCGCCGCAGGCACCGTGGGACAAATCCCGGCTCCCGCTGCTGCCACCGCCGCCGGAGCCGCGCCGTTCTCAGTCTACTGCTCCCCGGCGCTCTCAGTCGCTTCATCGGCCGTGCCCGCCGCGGCTGCTGCCGGCTCAGCTCTCTGCGCTCCTGTGGCAGCAGTGTCCGCAGGGGCAGCCCCGCCCGCCATAGGTATCCCTCCCCCTGCTGCTGGACGGCCAGGGTCAGCGGAGTCAGCACCCGTGGGAGGGCCAACGGCCGAGGGGGAGTGCTCCCGCTTCTGCCGCAGCTGCTCCTCGGCCACGCTGCTCTCGCTCACAAATGCCTCCAGCATTTCCAGGACTCTCAGGATCCTGAACTGCAGCTGGGCACGGGCAGCAGGGAAATCGAGCCTGGGGCTGAGCTGCATCAGGTCCCGGCCCAGCATGGTCGAGATGTCGTAGACATCGTCGGCTGTCAGCTGGAATGGGCTCTTATCCAGAGCCCTCTCTGGGCTACCATCCATATCCTCCATATCTATATCAGTATAGTCTGTAGGCGACTCATTTGCCTTTTGTTTGATTTCATACATTTTAACCCAACTTATTTCTTCTGTCTTTGCCCCTACAGCAGTACAGTCTGCTGTGTTTGCAGCAAACAATCCTGGAGTCTTTCCTGCACTCAGGGCATGCAGCTCCATTTTTACAGTTCTCATACTGTTATCGCTACCGATGAAATCAACTGCTTCAGCACCCGTCTGCGGTGCTGGGCTACTCGGTTTCACAAGCACATCTACACCTGGGGCTGTCGCCCCCCCTGGGGCCGACGCCTCTATTCTACTGCCACCATCAGAATCAACTCCTGCCACCGTCCCTACACTGGCCAGTTCCGGCGGCGCTTTCGCTGCGATCTCTAAAATCTCTCTTGTTTCCACGCCAGAAGCAACCTTAGTAAAAGTTGACTTTTCAGCCTTCACAGTTCTTATCACGTCACTGATACAGCTATCTGCTACTCCCGCGCTCACCTCTGCTGTTACCACAGTAACCTCGTCTGCTCCAGCAAAGCTGCCGGCAGCAGCTGCAAAGTTACAGGCTGCTCCTTCCACGCTCGCTGGAACAGGCGGGGGAGACCCCGCTTCCATTGCCCCCCTGGGGCCAGGAGTTTCTCCTGCTGTTACTCCTGTTTCGACCAAACTAGATATTACCTTTGAGCTAGCTAGCCCCGCAGCGTCTGCATAGCTCTCGCTCTGCTCTGCCACGCTAAAAGCAGCTTCAACAAAAGCCAATCTTACAGATCTTATCTGTACCTCTGTGCTTACTCCAGCCAAACTAACAGCCTCTGTTCTTACAGTCACACCAGCGGGACTCACTCCCACTGGCCTCGAGCTAACTCTTCTGGAGGCCTTAATTTGCCTAATCCCTCCCGGTGCAGCCAGACCCACACCAGGGAGTCCTCCAATGGCCTGTGCCTGCCCAGGGGCTGCTACTCCTGCCTTTTTTCCACGTGCCCTCTCTCCCCAACCGCCGCGTCGGGACCCACAGACAGCCGCCCGCACGGGGGGGAGACCGGGGGCGAGGCCTGCACCTCGCCTCCCCTGCCCTCACTACCTTAGGGTTACCAAGTTTTTACTGTAACCTCTCAGCTACTTAATTATTGCCAGCCAACTTGGCTCCAGAGCCCCACCGGCTCCTCAGAGCATCAGACCACACTGGAAGGCGTCCCTTCCAAAAACAAAACAGCCCTAGGCTGAAACCCGCTCTGACCTGGGTTGGTGAACCACCCGTTTGCCGACTGGAAAGCGACTCCCGCGACTATCTGGGCCCAAGTCTTAAGTTAACTTTCCAGTCCTCCGTGTTCCCTACCTCCCGGGAATACAAAACTTTCCCGCAGCTGCTAACTAAACCAGGTACCTTTTTCCCTTATTTTGCCTTTTCTTATCTCACCTCTATGCTCCGTGCTTGCTTCCGTGGGTTCTGTGGAGCTGGGCTTCTCAGACCGGGGCGGGAATTATCTCAGATAAAAGCCGGCTTGATGAGGAATTCCTGCATGATGAAAGTTTCCAGTCTGAAGAAGTTCCAGTCCAGGTTTCCCCGTTCAGGCCAACAGCTGATGCCTGCTCAGCTGGTGCTAAGAAAAAAACTCCGAAGCAGTTAATTCAGGGTGAGATAAGGAAAGGGTTTAATTGTGTCAAGGCAAGAGATGTTACATGACGCGCGCCGTCTGTGCTTGAGATGTTACATTTTATAATACCATCTGTCCAATCCCAAGTGTGTCCACCCTGTTACTTTTGCCCTGATCCACCCCCTGGCCCACCCCCTGGGAATTGGGTCTGGGGGCTTTTGAGACCCTCTCTTCATCAATCCTCATCTTCTTAGGGGCACAGAGGGTACAGAGTCACCTAGTTCTTGACTCTGTTCTGCGGTTTAGGCCAAGATACAAGTGTTCTCCAAACAGAACAGGCCTTGCCTTGACAAGAGACTAAACATTTCTACTGGATTCGGGGGTAGGGTTGATATAGGGAACATGGAATGGGGTAAGAGGGTTAAGGAATGTGTAAACTAAGGGGTGCTACAGGATAGAGGGACAAGGGTTGCTGCTTTTAAAATCTACCTCTACTACTTATAAAACTTATAAGGCTTACAAATATTAGAAAAATAAAAAACCATTAGGGGCTTAAGGCATCAGGATGATGGAAGACTTCCTGAGGTGCGGGTTGATAGAGAACCTCTGTCTTCTTCAAGCTGACTTCCAGCCCAAAGAGCTCAGCAGCCTCTGCAAAGCAGGATGTTAAACACTGCAGAGCTGCTTCTGTGTGGGCCACAAGGGCAGTGTCATCAGCATAAAGCAGCTCCCGGACAAGATGATTTAAGGTCTTAATATGGGCCTTCAGTCACCTTAGGTTGAATAGGTTTCCATCAATACGGTATTGAATGTAGATACCATCCTGATCATCGAGCTCTGCTGTGGCCCTTTGGAGCATCACGCTGAAAAAGACTGTGAATAGGGTTGGTGCGAGAACACAACCTTGTTTCATGTCATTAGTTATTAGAAAGGGCTCAGAAAGTGCATTGCCATATCTGACTTGGCCGTGCTGATCCTCATGAAGTGAGATGATCATTTTAAGGAACTTGGGGGGACAACCTAAACGTTCCAAAATCTGCCATAGACCTTTTCTGCTCACAGTATCGAAAGCCTTGGTAAGGTCAACAAAGGTTACATAGAGACCTTTGTTCTGTCCCCTACACTTCTCTTGCAGTTGTCTGAGAACAAACACCATGTCTGTGGTACTCCTGTTGGCTCTGAAACCACATTGGCTTTCAGGTAGAATTCCTTCTGCTATAGCGGGTATTAGTCTGTTCAGGAGTATTCTTGCCAGGATTTTGCCAGCAATGGAGAGCAGAGTGATACCACGGTAATTTGAACAGTCTGATTTAATTCCTTTCTTCTTATACAGGGTGATGATGACTGCATCTCGAAGGTCTGATGGTAGTTTGCCTAGTTCCCAACAGCGCACCACAAACTCATGAAATTTAGCATGGAGTGCAAGGCCCCCATGTTTCCAGACTTCAGGTGGAATTCCATCAACCCCAGCTGCCTTGCCGATTTTCACCTGCTGTATGACCTTGAGGGTTTCTCCTAAAGTGGGGGCAGTATCCAATTCGTACTTCACCGATTGTTGTGTGATGGACTGAATATACACAAGTATACACAAGTATACACAAGCACAGGTATAATTTCAGTAGTCACTCGCCATTCCCCCCCAAGTTGTCTGTTGAGTTCATTTAGTCCATGACTGGTGTAATTGGAGCAGTCCTTACTCATTGTCCATGGTAGTTATGACATACAGTGGCAGTATCATTCAGCAACCAATATTATACAATTCAACATTACAGACAGTTCTTACCAAAAAATCGAAGTACCATTGAGGCACACATCGTGTTTCCCCATCTTTCTGCATTAACCACTGTTACAGTTTTTTTTTTTACTTTTTTAGCGTCTGGTGAATTTTTCAATACTAACAGCCGGGGTGGGGTAAGTTTCAGGCTTTATTGTTCGCCTGGCTTAGACCTTAATGATTGTCCTATTGAAACGCTAATGGCTTTTCTCTGCAATAAGGACTCTTTTGTTTTCCTCTACCCGAGGCAAGGGGGGAAGGTAGATTTTTACTGTGTAACTTTAGCCGAAGCAACAGCTATAGAGGGAAAAACGGGCTGGCAGTTTTTGGCTGGGAGGTGCTTGGTTTGGGTTTTTTTTTTTTTACCTTTTTTGGCTTTTGGGAGGCACGCGTGGTGGAACTGGAGGGGTTCGGCAGGGCTTTTGGGATCGCTCGTCTAGCTCAGGAGATTTGGAGGAGAGTCCCTGCCTGCACTTTTTCTTCCCCCTCCTCTTTTCCCGTGTTGGCAGCAGCTTACTCCCATCAGCAAAAAAAGAGGGTCCTGGCCAGAGCCCGCCTTTGACAGCGTGAGTCCACTGGAGGAAACCACCCTTCCCCCCTTTTCTCTTCCCGTGCCGGAGGCGGCCCGCGCCTCCTCTGGGAGGTGCTTTGGACTGACCCAGCTGCTCCCGCGCTCCTGGTCCCACATACACGGCGGCCACCAGAGCCCATCAGCGCCACCTGCCGACCATCATTGAGCAACTGCAACTTTTGCTTCTCCAGAGGCCCAACAGCGCCACCTGGTGACCGTGAGTGAGGCACTGCAGCCCTCTGCTGGTAGTAGTTATAACTGCGCTAAAGTCAAAAAGTACTTGTTTTCAGTGGAAGTTTGGTTATGGGATTATTGCTTGTTTTTGTTGTGCTACCTATACATATATGTATATAATGGCCAGTCTTCACGAACGAAGATTTGGGGAAAGGTCTTTTACCTTTCCAGCCTGCGCAATGGATTTTTTAGGTGAGACACAGCCTGCGCTGAACTGAGCCCACCCTTTAATCCTAAGGTTCATCTGCCAGGGCCAAGCAAGCTTGGACAATGGCAGTGAGGTCCTCAGGACGTAGGTTTGTTTAGAGTGACCTTCTCATAGATGGATGGCCTCACAGGGCTAACGGGCTCCATCTGCCCGGAGGGACTGGGATTCGAACCTGGGTCGCAGCGGTGAGAGTCCCGCATGCTAACCACTAGGCCACCAGGGGTCCCCCCATATATGTATATATTCTTTAGTAAAGAGCTGTTATTTTTGTTTCCACACCTTTCTGACTGGAGCCTCTTAATTTTGAAGTTATAATTACTCAGAAGGAGGAGCTTGGGTTTTCTCATATCCCACCCTCCTTAGCAAACATTTCTGTCTCGTCAAACTGAGACACCCACCAAGTGCACCCAGGCCCTTGAGCAAAAACAATCCCATGGATGGGTTTGTCTTTGCCTGAGGCAGGACTAATCCAAACTGTCTTCCCTAACACATTTCTCATATGCACCACGGGGACTTTATCTCCTACAGTACATGAAGGTTTTGACTGGGCAGGGCCAGCTCGATTGGTAGAGCCTCTAATGTTAACTAACCAAGTGGCCTTTGCTAAATGTAGAACCCAATGTTTGAAGGTCCCACCACCCATTGCTTTCAATGTGGGTTTTAACAGTCCATTGTACCATTCCACTTTCCCAGAGGCTGGTGCATGATAGGGTATATGATATACCCACTCAATACTGTGCTCTCTGGCACTTTAATCTTTGCAGCTTGATTCACTTGTCCATTGTTGCAATGTTCTTCATTAGCCCGACTCTTGGGTACATGTGCATCTACATGACACACTTTCACAGCCAACTTCTCTACCCGGGCAGTGATGTCTTGCCAGAATTCAGCATCGTAGATGGGTTTCCCTCTGTGTTAACAATTGGTCTTTTTCCTTCAGTCTAGCTGCCTCGACATAGCATTTGCTACTATCCACAAGTCAGTGTAGAGGTAGAGTGTTGGCCATTTCTCTCGTTCTGCAATATCTAAAGCCAGCTGGATGGCTTTCAGCTCTGCAACCTGACTTGGTCCACCTTGTCCCTCAATAGCTTCTGAGACTGGTCGCATAAGACTCCATGCAACAGCTTTCCCTTTTTGATGTATCCCTACAATACAGCAGGAACCATCAGTAAAGAGAGCATGTTGTTTTTCATTTTCTGGTAGCTGATTATAATGGTGGGGGCTCCTCAGCACGTTTCACCTGCTCCTCTTCCTCTTCTGATGATAGTCCAAAATTTTTTCATTTAGGCCAATTCATGATGACTTCCAAGATCCCTGGATGATTGGGGTTTCCTATTCAAGCTCACTGCGGGATTAGAGTGATCCACTTACTCCACATGGTATGGGTGGCATGATATGTGGAAAGGACTTTCCCTTTGAACATCCAGCCCAGCACTGTGTCGACCTGCCGGAAGGCAGGAGGGCTCTGCAGAGGGATCTGGATAGACTGGAGAGATGGGCTAACTCCAATGGAATGAAGTTCAACAAGGCCAAGTGCCGGGTCCTGCACTTTGGCCACAACAACCCCCTGCAGTGCTACAGGCTGGGGACAGAGTGGCTGGAGAGCAGCCAGGCAGAAAGGGACTTGGGGGTGCTGATCGACAGGAGGCTGAACATGAGCCAGCAGTGTGCCCAGGTGGCCAAGAAGGCCAATGGCATCCTGGCCTGCATCAGGAACAGTGTGGCCAACAGGAGCAGGGAAGTGATCCTTCCCCTGTACTCTGCATTGGTGAGGCCACACCTTGAGTATTGTGTTCAGCTCTGGGCCCCTCAGTTCAGGAAGGACATTGAGGTGCTGGAGCAGGTCCAGAGAAGAGCAACGAGGCTGGTGAAGGGACTTGAGCACAAGTCCTATGAGGAGAGGCTGAGGGAGCTGGGGTTGTTTAGTCTGGAGAAGAGAAGGCTTAGAGGCGACCTCATCACTCTCTTCAACTACCTGAAGGGAGGTTATAGCCAGGAGGGGGTTGGTCTCTTCTCCCGGGCAACCAACAATAGGACAAGGGGACATGGGCTCAAGCTCTGCCAGGGGAGGTTTAGGTTAGATGTTAGGAAGAAATTCTTTACAGAGAGGGTTATCAGGCATTGGAATGGCCTACCCAGAGAGGTGGTGGATTCACCATCCCTGGAGGTTTTTAAAAAGAGATTGGACATGGCCCTTAGTGCCATGATATAGTAATTGGAGTTGGATCAGGGGTTGGACTTGATGATCTTGGAGGTCTTTTCCAACCCAACCTATTCTATGATTCTATGATTCTATGATTCTATGATACTCCAGAACCCCAGGGGTTATCCTTGAGTCTCCCCAGGTACTTTTTGCCAGAGGCTCCAGGAAGGACCATTCTCCCCTGCTGCCATGTACAGCATGTTTTTTACATCCTGTCCTGTCCAGACTTGCCCAAGGGCTACTGCATGAACAATGTCCTGTTTAATTTTTTCAAAAACTTGTTGTTGTTCAGGACCTCACTTGAGATCAATTTTCTTCCATGTTACAAGATAGAGAGGGCTTACAATCTGACTGTATTCAGGAATATGCATCCTCCAAAATCCACAGTGCCTAGGAAAGCCTGTTTCCTTCTTTCTGGTTGATGGGGACATAGCTGCTATTTTGTTGACCACGTTGATTGGAATCTAACTAAGTCCATCTTGCCATTTTACTCCTAAAACCTGAATTTCCCTGGCAGGTCCCTCGACCTTACTTTGCTTTTATGGCAAAACCAGTTTTCAGGAAGATCTGGATTATCTTCTCCATTTTCTCAAAAACTTCCTCTGCTGTGTTGCCCCATACAATGATGTCATTAATGTATCGCAAGTGTTCTGGAGCCTCACCCTTTTCCAGTGCAGTCTGGATCATTCCATGGCAAATCGTGGGGCTGTGTTTACACCCCTGGGGCAGTCGGTTCTAGGTGTACTGGACACCTCTCCAGGTAAAGGCAAGCTGTGGTCTGCACTCTGCTGCTAAAGCAATGGAGAAAAATGCATTAGCAATGTCAATGGTGGCACCACTTTGCTGCCTTGGACTCCAGTTGATACTGAAGTTCCAGCATGTCCAGCACAGCAGCACTCAGTGGTGATATGACTTCATTCAGGCCAGGATAGTCTACTGTCAGTCTCCACTCTCCATTGGACTTAGGCACTGGCCATATAGGACTATTAAAGGATGAGTGAGTCTTGCTGACCACTCCTTGGCTCTCCAGTTTATGAATCATCTCATGGATGGGAGTCATGGAGTCTCGGTGCAGTACTGTCGACAGTGCACTGTTGTGGTAGTGATTGGTATCTGGTTGTTTTTCAACCCTCAGCAGTCCCGCAGCAGAAGGGTCCTCTGAGAGGCCAGTCAAGGTATTCAGCTGTCTAATTTCCTCTGTTTCCACAGCAGCTGTCCCAAAAGACCAACGATGCCCTTTTGGGTCCTTGAAATACCCTCTCCTGGGGTAATCTATGCCAAGGATACACGGGGTCTCTGGGCCAACCACAATGGGGTGTTTTTGCCGTTTGTTCCCAGTCAGGCTCACTTCAGTTTCCAGTACAGTTAGCTGTTGGCATCCTCCTTTCACCCCAGAAATAGAGATGGATTCTGTCCCTACATATCTTGATGGCATCAGGGTACATTGTGCACCTGTGTCAGCTAAAGCCTTATGCTCTTGTGAGTCTGATGTGCCAGGCCATTGGATCCACACAGTCCAATAGATCTGATTATCCCTTTCCTCCACCTGGCTGGAGGCAGGGTCCCTCTAGTTCTGGTCATGCTGCTGTTATGATCTGCCCTGCAAGGCAGAAATAACTTTTGGGGTTTTTTTGCTAATAAATGTCTTGTGGTGAATTAAAGTAAATCGATACTAGATGATCAGTGTTTACAGATATATATATATATATATATATATGATTTATTTTAGAACAATTTGGTTGCAAAAGAAAACAGGTATGTAGCCATTTTGGTTGTTATTATCTATAGTAATATGGAAATATAAAAGCATAGAGATATTACTCAAGAAAATGTGTAAGGGAAAAGAGAGAAAGGAAGAATAGAAGTTCATATTCACCACCCAGAGGCCTCTGACAAACTTGTTTGTTGTCGCTGGTGTCTTGGTCTGTCAGGAAGTGGTAGGGGAAATAACCCTGCAAAACATAAAGTCCAATGGGTTTATACATCCTCAGAAACCCTCCTGGTACCCTCCCCATGTGTGTGGGGGGTGCCGTTTTTGCACAGTCATGCTGGTTTTGCAGGCTGTTTTTTTGCACAGTCATGTTAGTTTTGCAGGAATGGGTCAGAGGCTGGAGAGGCTGGTTTTTGCACAGTCATTTAAGCTTGGGAGGGGTGCTTCGGAGGCACCCCTGCTAAATGTGAGGTCTCCTCCAGGGTAGTGGTGGGTGTGTGCACAGCAGGCCCCTTTTGACATGGCCTGGCTCATAGGAGATAAGCATCACACACCCAGAGACTGCCCCTGGCCTCCACAAAGCTAACAGTTTGTGGGCTATGACCTCCCCCCTTCAGCCTTGATCTTCAATCTCCTGGCAGGAGGCTTCTTTGCACAGCTTGCTACAGTAGCAATGTTTTAAGGCAATTAAAAAATCCAATTCCTCACAGCTATTCGTTGCTCACTTCTTGTAAATATGACCTGGAGGTCCCTTCAAGAGGATCGGACATAACATCATCCCTTCTATTCTGCCTGAGGACTTGCCCATGGGAAACTGGAGTGGCATTTATGCTTGAAGAGTTTCCTGTGGTGGTCATTCTTCCTGTCATGTACCCATGCTGCTAGGGCAGAGGTGGGTTTTCCATCCCACTTTCTCATGTCTTCTCCATGTTCGTGCAGGTAAAACCACAGGTTACCTATTGGTGTGTACTCTCTTTTTAGGGGAGCACCTGGTCCTAATAGCAGAGACTCTGGCCTGTACTAGTGGGGCATGGAAAATTTCCTCTTTAATTTCCTCTTTACATTTCTGGTGGCCCTCTTTAATTTTCCCTTTTAAATTCTGTAAATCCTCGGTCAGTCTTTCCACGGACAAGACGTAGGCCTTTAACTGGCATCCCTTTCCTCCAGCGTGTTTACTGCACCACACGGCTTTGTGTTGATAACAAACTTACTGAGTGTGCACTCAACCCCACTGTCCATGTCACTGACAGATGTTAAACAGTGCCAGTGCCAATACCCCTGATGAACGCCACTCGTCCCTGGCATCCACTTGGACATCAAGCCTTTGACCACAACCCAGTGAGTGTGACCATCCAGCCAATTTTTTATCTACTGAATAAAAAATTCACCATCCCTGGAGGTTTTTAAGATGAGACTAGATGTGGCACTTAGTGCTATGGTCTAGTAACCACGGCAGTAGTGGATCAAGGGTTGGACTTGATGATCTCGGAGGTCTTTTCCAACCTGGTCAATTCTGTGATTCTGTGAATGGCCCACCTATCAAATCCATGTCTCTCCAGTTTAGAGACAAGGATGTTGTGCGGGACAGTGCCCAATGGTTTGCACGAGTCCAGGTAGATGACGTCAGTCGCTCTTCCCTCATCCACCAACTCTGTGACCCCGTCATAAAAGGCCACCAAATTTGTCATGCACAATTTGTCTTTAATGAAGCCATGTCTGTCACCAATCACCTCCTTATTTTCCATGTGCCTTAGCATCATTTCGAGGAGGATCTGCTCTGTGATCTTGTCAGGCACAGAGGTGAGATTGACTGGCCTATAGTTCCCTTGGTTTTCTTATTTCCCTTTTAAAAAATGGAGGTTATGTTCCCTCTTTTCTAATTAGTGGGAACTTCATCCAGCTGCCACAACTTCTCAGATATGACGGATAGTTGTGGTCAGAATAGAGAGATTTCTCTGAACAATTTTTCCTGCTTTCTGTAGGCCTTACTTGACATGACTTTAGAAGCTGTAAACTGTAATGTTTATGCTTATAGACTGTGTGAAAATATGCAATGTTTATACTTGTTAGCTGTGTGTCTAGTTATAAGGTTTGAGAACATAGTATATTTATAGTAAGAAAGCCTTGAGAAACTAGAGATAAAAGTACACCTGCAGATTTCAGAAACCCCCTAATTATGAAGGCCTCTACATGCCAAGTATGATGTCAGGCCACGTGGACAGAACATCAGGTCCAATGAACTGGAGACATGAGACACGTGTACAGACTGAACTATCCAATCACCTTGTTGTAAGCATGTGCCCAAAACAAACTAAATTGTATAAAAGATGACTTATTTAAATAATGAATGAAGCTTGTTGATTCTCGCATCGAGGGTCTCTTTCTACCCGCGTCGCGACAAATGGCGCATCGAACAGGGATTAAGTTAAATCTGCCATCCCAGGGATTAAGTTGAATCTGTGATCCCAGGGGCTAAGTTGAATCTGCGGTCCCCGAAGCCACGGTCCAGCGTAGTATTCCGGTCGGTCTTGCAGCAGCACAAGAGGTGAAAAGAGTTGGGCGAAAGAGTTGGACTCCGTGCCGCCGAAGGACCTCATACGAGGGTTTTGGCCGGCGAAAGAGTTAAACTCCGCGCCCCCGGCGGCGAAAGAGTTGGACTCTGGCCCAGGACGACCTCACAGGAGGGTTCCTGCCGACAAACACCGCCGAAGTCTTTTAAAGGGCTGCAAACAGCGCGCTGACGTATTATAGGTATGGAAAAGACAAGCGGTGCTTTTATTACTCCAGTGCTTTTTAGAAAAGCGAGGAGTTCAGGGTATAGACTTAGAAAAGGAACTAGCGACGGGGGCGAGCCGAGGAGCCGTGCGCGGCCGGGGCGAAGGAGGAGGCGGCAGGCGCCAGCACCGGCACGAGCGAGGCGGGCAGCGGCGAGCAAGAGGCAGCCCCCGCGGAGGAGCCGGCGCGGCAGGAGCCCCCCCGCCGAGAGTAGTCCCGAGGGACCCGCCGCCGAGTCAGCGGAGTAGTAAACACCACCGAACAATATGGATCAGAACTTTTTGACCCTCATTAGGTAAGCTAACGGGGGTGCCACCGGGAACAATATTTTAACAATGGGACAGCATATAACGAAGGAGGAAAGTGTAGTTCTATCTACGTAGAAATCCCTCCTTAACCGAAAGAATGTGAAGGTCACTGATTTTACTCTGCGGCACGTGTTGTGGTGTAGAAAGCGGGGCTTTGAGGCCACATCTAGTACTGCGCTTAGTATATCTGCATGGAACAAAGTTGGTGATAAGCTCTGGGATAAAATATCTAAGGGATCGAAAGATGCGAACGATCTAGCAGTTACCTGGCGTTTGCTGTTTGATACTTTAAAGAAGTGGCAGACAAGAACAGGAGACAGGAGAAAATGAAACTAAGTCAGCTACAGTACAGAATGCTCCAAATTCCAAGGAAAGGAGCTCAATTGATATTATAACAGAACACTTAAAATCCTTGAAAAGTTCAGATGGAGATATAGCTGGCAGCGGTCCAAGCCATTTGCAGAAAAAAGGCTTAACTAACAGCGAAACTGATACTAAGCCGAGTCGTAAATATCCTACAGATATCACCCTGTCTCCCTATAAGACCTCCAAGCCAGAAAATGCAGAAAAATCTAACAATTCTCTCCCAGAGACAGAAAAGAAGAAAGGAACCCCCCTCTCCATTGCCACTGCTGCAGAAAAAACAGTTTTTCCACCAGATTAAGTTTAATATTGTGGAAACCTAAAAGAAGACGACCCCTGCCACAGGGAGCAAAGGAGGGGGCAGAAAGCTGCCTTCTCATGTTTTTGTTGGTTCTTGTGTTAACTGTAGTGTCTGTCAAATGTTTTTTTGTGAGCTCACAATATTATTGTTACTGTGTGTGTATGTGAAGAAACAAGGTTCTTTGCCAGGAGAAGAGAGAAAAAGAAAAGTTAAAAACCTTCCTTTGTCAGGGAGAGAAACAGAGTATAATTCTCCTGATAACGACAGTCTGTTGCTTAGCAACTAAGCAGGAGTGAAAAGCTCTCCTACTTTGTAAAATTACAACTTTGTAACCTTCTGATTGGAGAGAGAAATTGTTTTTACAATTTCATAACATAGTCTTACTAACTGTTTTCTGAAGTTGTTCATTAAAATAACCAAAATTGTTTTAAAATATATAAATGTAACGGAGAAATAGAGTGTCTAAAGTAAACTACTGATGCCTGTGATAAAAAAATTCCAAGGCATGTGGGAGGAGTGATTTTTTCCAACAGAGCTACTAACCACAACTACTCTATCTTCCCTCTTCCCCCCCCTGCTCAAACAGCTCTGTAAACATTTTTCGTTGCTTCTGTGTTTTAAAGATAGGTTTTTTGAGATTGCTAAGAAACTTTAAGGTAGACTTATTTGGTGGAACACCTAGCTCAAAAATATCTTATTTGACAGAGGCAGTTTTTGCCAGAGAAAAAAGGAAAAATAAATAAATTGTTTCTAACTGAAAGTTTCCACCTTTGTGAAAAGAGAGATAAAATCTAAAGATATAATGCAAGAAATTGCCTAACAACAGACAGCATTTCAAGTTTAAACTGCATCTGTCCTAGTCTCTGTACTAAGCAGCAGAAGTATGTCCCTTTTATCAAGGCGACAATTTTAAACCAGAACTGTTGTTGCTTTGCCAGGTGTGCATCCTGGATCCCCTGGTATATTCTTATGAGCAAAGCCCTAGTTTAAAGCAACCTGAGTTTTACTGTGACTTTATGTAAATTGCTAAAGTTGAAAGCTACTTTATGAATGTTAACTTCTTACATACATTGATGTAAGTTAAACTGTTACACCTATTGTGTTTAAATAAGATGTTTAAAGTTTTCATGCATATCCCAGAAAAATATATAAATATCAGAAAAAATTCAGAATTAGCTGTTTATAAATCCTAGCTGACCATATAGTTTCAGAAGCTGGGTGAGACTACTTCAATTTTAAAAAAGACGTGACTGTTCTCCAGTTTCATTTTTTACATTCGGAGAGACAGGGATCCGCTCTCAAATCCCAGGCCATGTGTGGCTTGATAATGGAAAAGTAAAAGATGCAAATCTATATTTAATCCAATTATGCAACTAAAATCCTTATCAAAATTAGTAATCCCATCCTCTGAAAGATTTCCATATGCTGAGATTTTGAACAGCCAATTGTTTCTCCCTAATGAAAGTTGTTACTTGCTTTTATCGAAGTTACAGTGATTCAGTGTGTTTTACCTTATGATAAGAGAGAATTGTTCTACAGTACAACATGATAAAATGCTGCTCAAAATGATAAAAACAAGTAAAAAGAAAATACAGAAGTTAGAGACCTAAAAAGATGAGTTAAAACTAAATGTGATTGTTCTAACCAATGTTATTTGAGAAGCAGGATTGAAGGATGCTCCAGGAAAAGTTTAAAGAACCAAGCCATGGAACCTTTCTCCAACAGAGAGAATTACACTGCAAAGAATCATCATTAGGCCTTCAGCTTCAAAGAAAAACTGTAAAATTACCTATGATACCCACTTAAAACTGACTGAACTATTAATAACAAATTTGTGATTTTTTTTTATTAAAGGTGAAGAACAACTAAAAGAAACAGATGAACAAGAGCTGAGAGTTAACTACATCCCAGACATCAGAGACAACTTGGACTGACTTCTCACAGAAGACACTGAATTTCAAGCTGTATTAGCAGACTGTAATAGTGACTTATCTATTCATTTTTCTAGGTACCGGTTATAAACAAAAATCATGTGTTGCTGCCAATCACACATTACTCATGTAGCTCAGACATTGGTTTAACTTCTCCACGATTTAGAAAGTTTTGAAAAAACTATAAGGACGAGTAATGTTGTAATTTACTTATTTTCCACAGCTAAAACAATTCTTGCAGGTTGAAGTGCATGTCACACTGCAGACATCCAGCATAAATCTCTAAAGGTTACATTATACTCAGTGTGAGGGGGTATGAACCGCTTTAACAGAATTATTTACAATGTACTGCATGAATTCTAATAACTGTTTTATTTTCTTTTAGTGACTACTGCTGTGAAGCTTCTTTTAATATACCTAATGTAAACATTCAGAAATTCTTTTTCAGTGTTAACATTGTTGAGTAGATGATCTCATGATAGCGTATTGTACAGGCTAATTGATCCATATTTGATATAATATTCCTTCAGTTCAATCAAGATGCAAATTATGAAGTACTATGTAGAGTCCTCTCCCCTTATAACAATTGTGAGAGTAAAATGAACATTTCAAAAACATCCCATATTCTACCCGAAAGGGAATATAAAAATAGTTATGTCATCTTGGCCTTCATACTATATATCACATCTTGAATTGGGATTTATTGAAATTTTGGAGTTGCTGAGAGTATTTAAGTCTGTAGAAAAGACTTCCTTTGGTGTAATCAGATATAATTGTTATCATTTCTTCAATCTTGTGGTTTCATTCTTTCGATAGATGATTCCTCAGCTTTGACAAAACCTATTGTTTTACTGTTAAAGTCAGTTAAAATCTTAGAACTTTATCATACATCTCAAAATAAATATTGATATATTGCTTTTCTTTTACAAATCACATTTGACTGAAAACCTAAGTGATTTGTAGGAATTCTTTTCTTTTCACCTATATATTTGACTTTATGCTTATTAATAATCTGTACTTTTCAGCTGAAACAGTTTTTATAGCACAACTGTAGGTTGTGATCAGAAAAGCAATACAAGCAATACGTGATGATAAGACAGCTCCGTTTTTTACTACAATATGACAGAGATCAACGGAACCATTCAGAAATTTATTGATCAGTTGCATTATGCAATTAATATCCATCCTAACCTAGATGAAAACATGAAGATGAAATTTTTAGACATGTTAACCTATAATTTTATCAGAATTATTAGAAGATATGGATAGTCTATACATACTGTGTTACAAAATGGAACTGTTATAGAATTCTGTTGTTATCACAAAGGTATTTGGTAGAGAGAAAAGTGTCAGCCCCTTAGTTGACTTGCAAAAGTGTTTTCATGTGTTAAGTTTTTTGCACACAGGTGTTCTCTAGCTATCTACATGATGGATGAGACCTTGGAAAGAAACTGGTTCTTCGGAACAAGGTTGATGTTATTCCTGCAGGTGACTGTGACACCACCAGAAGCTGTTGTAGCTAACAGTTGTCTTAATATTATTAGAACACAGTTTATTGAACACAGTTTCTTAGTATTTTTAAGGCACATGATTTTAAAAAATTAAGAAGCACATAATTATAGAGGGTAAGAATTTAAGTATAATGTGTTGTGTGACCTTTGGATTACTCACTAGGTATTGATAAAAGAAAGTTTATCTATCTGGTTAGTTTTATCTGTTTAGTTAAGAAACTCTAACATTATAAGGTATTAGAAAATTATTATCAGTATAAGGTACTAGAGAATTATTATAATTTCTTAAGTTCGTAGAACGCAGTGACATGGAACTCAAAAGTATATCTGTGTGACAGTGTGTATGATGGTGGCCACCGTGTGAAAGTGAATGAATGAAAATGTATGCATGTATGTGTGTGAACATATGAACATATACACAAACACCTTTAAATAAAAACAGAAGACACATAACCCTAAATTGTATAGAGTTCCATTTACAGAAGTGTTTTAGATTGAATAAAAGCTTTCAAGAATAAACCCTATATTTAGTAGCACCTTTCAGCAAAAGTTAGAGCACAAACCCTAAAGTCAATAAGTTGTTAAGTTCGTTAATGATAATAGTAATTATTATTATATGTAATTGTGTTTGTTGATATGTTATAAGTATAATAAAGAATGTTACAAGAATACAGTAAAAATTGTTCAAAAGCAGAAATGGGGAATTGTGGCCAGAATAGAGAGATTTTTCAGAACAATTTTTCCTGCTTTCTGTAGGCCTTACTTGACATGACTTTAGAAGCTGTAAACTGTAATGTTTATGCTTATAGACTGTGTGAAAATATGCAATGTTTATACTTGTTAGCTGTGTGTCTAGTTATAAGGTTTGAGAACATAGTATATTTATAGTAAGAAAGCCTTGAGAAACTAGAGATAAAAGTACACCTGCAGATTTCAGAAAGCCCCTAATTATGAAGGCCTCTACATGCCAAGTATGATGTCAGGCCACGTGGACAGAACATCAGGTCCAATGAACTGGAGACATGAGACACGTGTACAGACTGAACTATCCAATCACCTTGTTGTAAGCATGTGCCCAGAACAAACTAAATTGTATAAAAGTTGACTTATTTAAATAATGAATGAAGCTTGTTGATTCTCGCATCGAGGGTCTCTTTCTTCCCGCGTCGCAACAGATGGTGGCTTAGCTACTTCCTTGGACAGTTCCCTCAGGACCCACAGATATATCTCATTAGGTTCCATGGACATGTGTACCTTCAAGTTCCTTAGATGGTCTTGAACCTGATCTTTTCCTACAGCAGGTGATTCTTCATTCTCCCAGTCCCTGCTTTTCCCTTCTGTGACTTGGGCGGTGTGTCTGGCACACTTGCTGGTGAAGACTGAGGCAAAAAAGTCATTGAGTACCTCAACCTTCTCTATATCCTGGGTAACCAGGTCTACCACGTCCTTCTGAAGAGGGACCACATTTTTCCTAGTCTCTTTATCACTGACATACCTACAGAAGCTTTTTTTGATGCCTTAAGTCCCTAATGGTTTTTTATTTTTCTACCTTATAAGTTTTATAGGTAATAGAAGTAGATCTTAAAAGCAGACCCTTATCCCTCTTCCCTTAGTTTACACATTCCTTAACCCTCTTACCCCATTCCATACTCCCCATATCAACCCTACCCCTGTATCCAGTAGAAGATGTTTAGTCTCTTGTCAAGGCAAAGCCTGTCTTGTTTGGGGAACACTTGTATCTTGGCCTAAACCGCAGTACAGAGTCAAAGAACTGGGTGACTCTGCTCTCTGTACCCCGAAGATGATGAAGGTTGATGAAGAGAGGGTCCCAAAATGCACCCCAGACCCAATTTCAGAGGGTGGACCAGGGGGTGGATCAGGCCAAAAGTTATGGGGTGGACACACTTGGGATTGGACAGAGGGGGTTATAAAATGTAACATCTCGGGCACAGCCGCCGCGCGCATCGTATACCATCAATTGCCTTGGCACAATTAAACCCTTTCCTTATCTCACCCTAATTAACGGTTCCTGGATTTTTTCTTAGCACCAGCTGAGCAGGCATCATCTTGTTGCCCTTGACATCCCTGGTCAGATTTAATTCTGTCAGTGCTTTAGCTTTCCTAACCTAATCCCTGGCTACTCGGACAATCTCTCTGTATTCCTTTCAGGCTACCTGTCCCTGATTCCACCCTCTATAGGCTTCCTTTTTGTGTTTGAGCTTGTCCAGGAGCTCCTTGTTCATCTATGCAGGCCTCCTGGTGTTTTTGCCCAGCTTCCTCTTTGTTGGTATGCATCACTCCTGAGCTTGGAAGAGGTGATCCTTGAACATCAACCAGATTTCTTAGGCCCCTCTTCCCTCCAGGGCTTTATCCCATGGTACTTGACCAAGCAGATCCCTGGAGAAGCCAAAGTCTGCTCTCCCGAAGCCCAGAGTAGTGAGCTTGTTGTGTATCCCCCTTGCTGCCCTAAGGATCTCAAACTTCACCATTTCATTGTCACTGCAGCCCAGGCTGCCCTTGAGCTTCACATTCCCCACCAGCCCCTCCTTGTTGGTGAGAACAAGGTCCAGCATAGCACCTTTCCTCGTTGGCTCCTCTATCTCTTGGAGAAGGAAGTTATCATCAGTGCATTCCAGGAACCTCCTGGATTGCCTGTGCCCTGCTGTGTTGTCCCTCCAACAGATGTCAGGGTGGTTGAAGTTCCCCATGAGGACCAGAGCTTGTGAACATGAGGTTGCTCCTATCTGTCTGTAGAGGGTTTCATCCGCTCGGTCTTCCTGGTCAGATGGCCTGTAGCAGACCCACCACTGTAATGTCACCTGTCCCTGCCCTCTCTTTAATCCTGACCCATAAGCTCTCAGTCAGCTCCTCATCCATCCCCAGGCAGAGCTCCATGCTCTCCAGCTAGTCACTGACATAGAGGGCAACATTGCCTACTCATCTCCCCCACCTGTTCTTCCTAAAGAGCCTGTATCCCACCTGTCATCCCATCATGTTTCTGTGATGCCAATAAGATCGTAGTCCTGCATGTGTGCACACTTTTCTAATTCCTCTTGTTTATTCCCCATGCTATGTGCATTTGCATAGAGGCACTTAAATTGCAGTTTGGTGTTATGCCATTGTATGGAAAGTTTCAACAACTGTCTGTAGGAGCCCAAACCCAGCTCTCAGCAAAAGGAAGCTTGGTAAATTTGAATCACCAACCTTGGAAAACAAGGGCTGACAAACATCTCGTGATCTGAAGAAACTGGACCCTTGTCCTAAGACCTGTTGATGTACAACCCTGGGATTTAAATCTGGCTCCAAGCAGAATTAAGAAAGGACTTTTTGAGATGATTGTTAAAACCATGTCTGAACCCCTGTAATCCCTCCATCCCCCATGTAATCCTGCTTGAAGAAAAATTAACTATTTGGAAATTACAGTAAAAACTTTTGTAACTCCCTAATTAACATAGGTTGTCCCCTTCATTAACATGTCCAGCCCCCGAGGCCCTTAAAATTGTGTTCTCGC